TTGAGTCTTTTTCCTTCATTTTTAGTAAAGAACTCCTACCGGTTTGATATTTTTGCTGGGGTTTTTGAGTTTGAATTTAAAGTTGTTTTAGTTTCCTGTTTGGTATTCTTGCTACTGCTTTTGCTCAGATTTTTCAGAGACTTATTTTCTATCTTTCTGTTTGTTTTCTTGCTGCTATCAAGGTACTATTCTAAACAATGTAAAGGTTTAATCTCGTTGTTATCCTGACTATGAATTTGCTGTTTATCAAGAGTTGTATTTTGTTTAAATATGGTCTGGTGTATGGTTTAAATTACTGCATGAATCATGTGGTTTAAAGTTGTTTAGTTGGAAGTTATGTGTGAATCCATGTAGAACTAGTCATTTACACTGTTTATTCTATTTAAGTTATATTAGCATTATGTTAAAAATATTCTGAAAATTACAAAAAATTTGTTTAAGCTTCATGTGTTCATCTAGAAAATTTATACGTTTGCATGTAATAGAAAAAAAAGTATTTTCTTTTAAGAAACTTATTAGAATAGTAATAGGTAGATTTGCTCATCATTAAAGAATTAATCTCATCATTTAGTTAATAAGTTAGTCTTTTTTTTTTGAGCAAAAATAAGTTAGTCCTTTTATACCTTTCTTGTATAATGAGTTAGTTTGATATATTAATAGCTTTACTCTTTTATTCAAAACAATTAAACATAGTAATTCCAATTTCGTTAGTTTATGGATCATGAAAAAATTGGGTTTTACGAGCAAACTGGACAGTAGGACATAATACATTTTCAGGCCCAAATCAATTGGGTCCATAGAATTGTATTCTAGGTTTCGGCTAATAAATCATGCTGATAGTTTGATTAAAAACATTTACATTTTAAAGCTTCAAATACACAATGATTTTTTTAAACTTATCACTTTAGCATAGTGTTAGCATAAGAAGTAAAAGACTTCGGTAGAAAACTATCGAATTGAACCAGATTTTGATTTACTTTACTCACGTCCCAGCCCCCTTAGTATTCTGTTTTAAAATGTAAATGAAATACAAGTGAAATGTTATAATTGTTATTACAACAAATAAACCACAAAATGTCAATCTCAAATTCATTAAAAATATGCATTGGGCCAGAGTCATTCGGACTCAGTCATCATCAGGCCCAAATCATCTTCTGATTAATTTTATTTAGCTGTTAATAAATGTGCATGGGGCCAGAGTCATTTGGACTCAGTCATCACCAGGCCCAAATCATCTTTGATTGAATTCATTTAACTGCTCTAGAACATGCATCGGGCCAGAGTCATTTAGACTCAGTCAAGCCCAAGATCTTTTCGAATTAAATTCATTAGCTGGTCCAAATAATGGACGATACGCGTCTTGGGCCAGAGTTCATCTGGACTCAGCCTTTATCAGGCCCAAAGCCCCTTTTAAATATAGATCCATTGGGCAGTTAATACATAAGGTGCCCAACTAATTTAAATAAATGTATCACATAGTATTGAACATTCACACCTAGTTACACGACATAGGGTATTTAGCTTAGAGACATAACTTCAACTTTAGGTATATTCATAATCGAAATAACTATTGCAATTATGTACAGATACGTGTGACATAGTTGTGATACCAAAAGCAAACCAAGGTACACATTCGCGTGACCATGGTCAAATATTCTTAGTAACAACAAAACACTTTAATTAAATACTCGTAGAAATGCTTTTAGGCGCGGTTTTAAACTAAGTGTTGTGAATTGTGTACACGTAAGCATGACACGATTCTTGATGCGCCAAACTAAATGAGTATACGTGCGCGTAACTTGTTTTAAGATAATTCTTTAATAACGAATAATCAAGTAATTAAAAGCGGTAAAAAAGAAATGTACGTAGGTTCTACAATGCGTAATTGAATAATTTAAGCCAGGTATGATTAAAGCGTCCGTGCTAAAATCACGAAATTCGGGAATGCCTAATACCTTCTCCCGAGTTAACAGAATTCCTTATCCGATCTTCTGGTTTCGCAGACTTTTAAACAGAGTGAAATTTCCTCAATTTGGGATTTAAAATAAACCGATGACTTGGAGCATCATAACAATTATTCCAAGTGGCGACTCTTAATTAAATAAATAATCCCTTTTCGATTAATGTCACTTTAAATTGGAAAAACTCCTTATATCCCTTCGGGAAAAGGGGATGTGACAATTTTCATGGATAATTGATACTCCTGGTGGTCACGTCCTTAATCCAAAACGCTCTCCTATGGCCGCATATGGTTCCAGTTTTAGTAATAGTTGACTGAGTCATCAGCTAATCTTTTCAAAATGGCGAAATACATAAACAGCCCCTTCAAGTTGTCCACAACGGTAGTTGAACACCTCAACTGAGACTATTTCCAGTTAAACACTTCAAGTGGCTATTAAATGTATCTCGTGAACACCCGAGTCTGGCAGACTATATGTGTGAGTTGCACTCGCCAGTGACATGTCAAATGAACCAATTAAAGAATGACATGTGTAATTTATAATAAAATTTTTGATAAATATAAACTAAATACATTAAAAAATCTTTTTATTATTAACCAACCCCCACCCCTCTCATCTTCTTCCTTTCACCTCCCCTCTCGACCCACCCCCCCCCCCACCACCACGACATTTCGTACTAAACTCCTATCTTCTTCCTTTTCTCACTGCCAAATAAAAGATTCTATGTTTAATACTCCATACTCCATTGTAGTAATACTCTAATCAAGTTTAATCAAAATTTTGTATTGTAACTTCATTTTGTTGAAAAGACAAAATCTTAACTTTGTGGGTTCAACAACAGATTATTACTGTGTATGTCGATTTTTGAGATTTTGTGGGTTCAACAACAGATTATTAGAGATGGGATCGTTTGGCTCAAGTGATTTCATTCATCGGTTTGCTGCGGGAAATCTACTTTGAGGGAAAAAATTTGGCCTCCATTGAAGGAGCTTCAAGCTTGAATTTTTTTTTTTTTAAGAATCAAATCAATTCCAATATGAATAATACCAAAAGCCACAAGCTTTTAATGCCTCAGTACAGAAAACAGAGAGAGGAACATAGAAGTTCCAACCAAAGCACCAGAAACAGGCAAGGAGAATCCCGCTCCGGCGTCGGGCGACAGAGCCGATGCAAGACTAGGCTCCTGCGCTGAGACAACAACGGTGGCAAGAACAACGACGAGCATGAAAACTTTGACAATGCTAACCGAGGCCATTGACGAACGAGAGTTAACTGAGTAATTAATCTGCAAAAGGAGAAAATTGGAATTTGAATATTTGATGGTGGTCAAGCTTGAATTAAAAAGAAGAAAAAATCAGATCTAAAGATTTGGGGTGGTGTAATAGTGGGGTCCACATTTATTTTAGTAGAAAAAAAAAAGATAAGCTTAATTTTAAAGTTTCACGCGCTTAGATGTAAGTATAACATACAAAATTTGCCATGTCAGCGTAAGGGGTTTAAGAGAATATATTTATACCAAGCAGAGGTGTCTATCTGGTCACATAACAAGTTAAGGGGTTCAAATGACCGTTGTGGACAACTTGGAGGGGCTATTTATGTATTTCGCCTTTCAAAATAGAATTTAACTTACACACATTTACAATGCAAGAAATATGTACATTAACGTAATTTTGTCCATTGTACCATTAAGTTAATCTTATTTTTAGATTACTAGCTTAACTTATGCTTTGATAAAGTTTACTAATTTCATTTAAAATGAACAAGCACCTACATTTACTTTTTATATGGCATATCGAAATTAAACTCATCATTATATAGCATAAATTGACCGAGTCTGCAGTATCATACAAGTCAAACTCTCAAATGGCTAATTCATTCTTGTGCACTCAAACACATATGCGGCTAACTTCCACTGTGATGGACCACTTTTTATGTCTCAAACATACTATCAAAAGTTGCAACAAAAGTCAACTTTATGTTAAATAGATTCAACTCCTCGAAAAGTTAATTTTATCAACACTCTCCGACTCATTAGTCATATCCATTTAAAAACGGCTAAACTTTAGACTTTCCTATTGTATCATTATGAAATGAAACAGTTAATCAAGAAGTAATGCGTACGCCTTTATAACGAACACAAAAACTACTTCAATCACTGAATATGTAGACTACAAAAATAAGTTTTCGTCGAAAATAATTGACACCTCATAAAGGACGTTCACCTTTTCGTGAGCTACGCACAACAGAACAAAAAATGTAGAATGAACTTATATATGATACAAAACAGCATGTTCATAAATTAACCATCTACCTTTCCGTTTCAAGTTGCTGCTGTTCTTTTCCTTTAAGGGTCTTTTAATGGTGAAATTCGAACCAGCTTTGACGCACCTTGACTATTCCATCGGGTAACAACTGCCTCCCGGCTCCCCCAACATATGTATAGGGTAACTCTGGCCCCCCAGGATTAGGTAACAGGAAAGAAATCACAATAACATTTCTGTCTCCACTGCAATTTAAACCCTAACCACCTATAACTTTCACTCATGTTGGAATTGAAACCCTGACCTCTTATGATCCTCAACCATTTCCTTGACCCAAGGCCACACCCGTCGCGCTTTTTCCATCAAGGTTTACTGTATAGAGTATTCTACTGCTGTAGCACCCAATCTTTTCTTTCTTTTTTAAAAATGTATTGACTAAGTCTATCGACTATAATAACATTTTTCGTCAACACCCTCCAAAAAGGTTTTCCACACTGCCCGCCATTTTTAAAGGGCCGGAGATAGGTCTCTGTCACATTTCCTCTTTGCAGTGGTAGCAGAGACAGTAGCTTTGTCATAAAACGATCTTATATACAAAAGATAGGCACACGGCTTCACAAAATTAAGTTCCAATTGCTCGTGCACAAATAGTTACTCCAATAACCATTCATACCCAAATGCATTCAACGGCAAATATTACTCCATTCCTCATGTGTACGTACTCATATCCTCACTAGTAAATGAAAACATCCAGCAGCAACAAAGGACAAGGCAGTCATAAATGAAAAACTGAAGATTGTTTGCTTGAATCGTTTTGAATATACTTGTTTAGGGAACAATTATACAAGGAGATACCTATTATTTTGTACACCAAAAATGTAAGACAAGTTAAACTGATAATATCCCCGCATCTATTCGTACTAGTTCTACTTCTATAGTCAAACAAAAACAAAGAACAATTAATGGACTATAAAACGTAGAAGACGTCAAGCTAAGTCTATTGGGAAAAAGAATCAGATGCAGACCCAAACCTATAACTCATATGCAATCTTCCAAGCTAGCACGTTTCTGCCGAATAATCTGAGTGTCCAAGTTAGTCATCATCTTCCGAATCTGTACTCAGAAGGACCCAAAAAAAAGGTCAGCTTTTAGCCCAGTTCAGTATAAATGTGTTAAAGAACAGATATCATTAATCCAATTAAACGGAGAGGAAAAGTCGTTATCACTTTAAGATCTACAAGAAACATTCTAGCGTGTAAAGGTACTTTCATTACGCATCTTCATTCTCATTTTGTCTTGGGGTAGGAAAAAGACATAAAAAAGGAACAAGGTGTATATCAGCACAAATTCAACAACATAGTGTGCTGTGCTAAATTCAAAATGACAATTAAGATGCTTACCAGATCTTATATCTTCCCCAACTTTCCCTCTATTTTTCAACTGTCTCATGATCATTGAACATATGAGAATCCACCAATACAGGTGGAACACAAGTAGGGTCAACAGCATTGTGTTGAAGATGTAGTATAGCAGTGTACTGTATGCCTCTGACAACTTCAAAACCTCACATAAATAATAGCTGGGAAATGAACACATTGAATTAATTATTGGAAACGGGAAAAAGAAGGGGAACAACATCATATGAGTAGAAAATCTAATAAGGACCTAACCTTGAGGATCGTATGACCCAAAATGGAAAGAAAACCAGCCTAAGTGCAAACCAGGAGACAGCAAAAAAACCAAATAATATGCTAGCTCCAAGCTCCTTCTCCGAATATTTAAACACTTTGGCAGCTTCAAGAAAGACATCACTTGCATCATGTAATGCAAGAATAACTATCCCGATCCGAAAGAAGCTACAGATGTCAAAACACATAAAATTAAAACAGATAAAAATATGAGAATCTAGAATTTTTTTTTTTGCATTTGTTAATTTCCTCCTGGGTTATTAGCCAAATTACATTTGTCTAGAAACTTCATCTTCAATACCAAGTAATCTGACACAAGGTTTTTGATAGATAAATCGATCCTTAAAACCAAAAAAGCTCTGCCGTTGAATGAAGTAGACATATCAGACGACGTACAACAAGTTACAGAATGATGAACTCTCAAATGTGTTTGCAGCCTATTAGTCGAAACCAGTTAGAGAAGGAACATCTATTTAATTATGTCTTAACATTCAATACGAGGAAAGAAAATATTCTGCCATACTCCTCCATCACATACTTTCTTCCTCACAAGAAGACAGCCTTTTCTAGAAGCAAATTTTCAACTAGGAGAATTAGCTCAACTATGGAATTATAGCAAAAAAAACAGTGTTTGATTCTAATGTTGACGAACTTCAAGAAATGACTTAATAGATTCAAGGGAAATCAATGTTGAGAGATCAGCAAAATTATAACTCAAAAAAGGTAGCAAGACAGCTGTGGCTAATTATAAAGCCAAGTTATGTAAACTTGTTATCCAGTTTTCCTGAAATCAACAGATAAACAGAGGGAAATGATAAGAAGCTCAAGGTTGGTCACTTTTCTTGAACACATCAGATGAATTCAAAATGGACAGTCAGGAATAACTATTACTCCCTCTGTTCCAGTATATGTGAACCTATTTCCTTTTTGGTCCATTCCGAAAAGAATGACCCATTTCTAAATTTGGTAACAATTTAGCTTAACTTACAATTCTACCCTTAATGAGAAGCTTTTATAACCACACAAATACTCTGGGCCCCTTTTTGACTTATTTCGGACCACAAATTTCAAAAGTCTTCATTTTTACTTAATCTCCGTGCCCAGTCAAACAGGTTCACATAAATTGGAACGGAGGGAGTATCTGATTACCCACAAACAACTTCAAAGATTAACTTGGGACCTCTTTTCCGCTGTATAGGAGAATGTTGACCATATTCTGATCAAACCGGTGAAAATGCTAAATAACTGTATCTGCAGACTGAGTTACAGATTCGACCAATTTGGGGAAACAGGGCAACCTTTTTTTTTTTTTTTTTGATTGATATCTAGCAACCATTTCATTATTTTATCAGTAAGACAGCTATTAGCATCCTTGTGCAGGGGACTAAAAGGATGGTACTGGCTAAGTCAAATTTGTCTAAACTGTGTTGCCTGTTCTAGACATTATCTAACAAGAGCTGTTAATGCGCTTATGCATACTCAACAAATGAATCAACAATGAAAAAGTGGTAAAGAATCAACATTTAGAAGAAAGGGACCAATTTAGTATCCTCATTCCCAGAAATCTCAGCAAATTCTTAAAAAAAAAGAAGAAAAACAGCAAATTGCGTGACATATTAAGCATATCAATGCATTGGAAACCGTGCTCTATTTCAATTCTCAAAGGTAGCAAAACTTCAAATTAACAAAAACATGAAATGCACTTTTCTTAATTCTATCTCATCTATAAGTTACATGCTCTGCATCCATTTAAAATTGATAATTGCATGTCTTCACATATGAATATGCAAAGCAATATTAACACGATTAATTTTTTGGGCAGAATATTATACAAAGTTTGGCATATATTTTTCTTCCTTTGGCAATAAATGTTCACATACTTTTTTTACTCTCTTCTATATCTAGAACCAGCTTTTCAAAATTTTAACATCTAATTTGACTTAGCATCCCTTCCCCCTACCGTCAACTGAAAACAAAAGGAAAAAGCCATCTCTCGAAGTATGTTAAAGAATGTAGCCTTTGGTGGTTGAATGAATGTGAAGAATTGCATGGAATCAAGCGTATTTACAATCCCTACTTATATTGTGCTTGACACAGACATAGAGACCTTAAGAGTCACGTAACTGCATACTTAAATCATATGCGTATTTTCACATCAAACTAGGGTAAGTCCCAGAATCAAAAAGAAAATAAAGGAGGAAAGTGATAACTAAGAAATAAAAAGTACACCTCGGGTGAAGTAGACCTTACCTTGAAATATATGAGTATGAAATCAGAATAACTGTCACTATGTGATGAGACATCATTACAGCAAAGTCCTTCCGTCGTGTTTCCCAAACAAGGAGCGCAGCAATGGAATAGACGTAGAACCCACATTGGCACATATAGATAAGTTTTATGCCAGACCTAAAATGAGAAATGAAACATAGGATGTCAAATTTTATTAAAGCCTCATGTGAAGCTTCTATTAAAAGATGCCTATAAAAAGAGTTGCCTGAAAAATCATCTTTCCATTCTCACAGGCAAGTATGAAGTGCAAAATGTTGCCCACAGTTCTAATGAATGGATTTGCATTTCTAGTTGAACTTCTATTTTCACCACAAAAACAGATCTAACGCATTAAAATGACTGCAACAAAGGCGTGATGTTAAATCAGAGTAGAAGTCTAGCCTGGACAATAATATAGTGTCTTAAGAAGTCCTGTTTCCTTTTTTTGTTCAACTAAAATGGTGCTTGTATCCAACTAGAAATAGTTTGATGAGTTCTTTGCAACCAAAGGCCTGCTTACAGCGAAGAATGGGCAAATATAAACTTGGGATTAGAAAAGGTACAGGGTTTAATAATCAGGGGATAGAGGGGCATTCCACGGGGAATTTAATAATATTCAACCATTGAGAACAAATCCTAGCACACAGGGTTGCTCCTTCCAGAACTTATTTCTGTTCTTTGAGGGGTAGAGATGACTCCTTTTGCTTGGTCTTGATAGTTGCAGCAACAAGGTCTTTTTGCCTTTTTGGCTCTTTCTTTATATATATGTGTGTAGCCTCTTAACGCTCTTGCAAATAGAACTATCAAGTACTAGACAAGATACATACTGGTAACAATTAAGCGATTTTTTTTGTTTGGCAGCCTACCAGGCTCGGACTCTTGCCCTAGCGGCATGAAGAGGACTCTCTCAACAACTATGAACAAGAATGGCCCATATAACTGAAAACAGAAATTGGCTAGGGCCCTGCAGGTAACAATTAAGCAATATGGCATCTACTACGAAAAGTAAGTATTTTTTAGTGGATACTCCATCCATCGCATAATGATGATACCCTATCCACACTATATGAAGCTTCAAGAAATCATCCATGGGATAGGAACAAAGAGGGTCCTAATTTTAGTGTTGTATTACCACCACAGGAAAATCATCAGTGCAGCACACAATCGAGAAATTAGCAAACCACCAAACATAAGAAGACCAAAAGCCTTGAGAAGAGATTTCTGGCAGTACGGTGGCGACATAAGATTTTCTTGTCTCTTTTTTTCCCCTTATAAAACGCAGCAAACATTTGGTATAGGAGACAAGAAGATACTGCAAAACTTAAGAAAAGCAACTCTAATGTGAGGCTCAATGGTGGGAACTTAATAAGAAAAGCATACATCAGCTTATTTAATCCTAATATATGAACTTAGCAACAGACTTCGCCACTAACTATACTAATTTGAGTTGAACATATAGCTGGCATTATGATGTTCCCCTCAAATAGGACATGGAATTATTTCTTTTCTTGCTTACTCAATTATTTAAAGTAACAACTCCAATTTGACCTTTAAACAGACAGTACATGCTGACTTCCATATGTCATAAACTAGGTCATAGCACAATCGGGATGTGATACTCACGATAGCTCCTGATTTGGCCAGCCCCTGAAATACTCCTTCACATCTAGGAACCATGGCTCATGATATGCAACTTTCAGGACACAAAACTCAACAGTGCCATAATAAGCAAGTTTCCACATGGATTCAGAGCATTTAACAATTTTTCCTCTTGTAGCCTCATCATTCTTCAGATGGGCGGTTCCCAGATGCAGCAACCAAATTGCTAGTCTCTGGAAACAAGGTGAAGAACCGTAAGAAACATAGATATGCCAGAAAGATGGAGTAAAATAAACAATTTAACCAAAACTGCCAGGTAGCCGAGTGAGGAAAATTCACTTTCTATCATCTATACTCTAAAACGTCAAGAAAGCAGTAACTGAATCTTAGTTCCTTATTATCACTACTTTCAAGCAGTTAAACTTACTGTTTGCTAAACGAGGGTAAAAAGAAATAACGTCACTATCCAAACCAGGTTATAAAGTGGTATTCATCAAAAATGAGTCCATGAATCTTTACCAGTATGCAAATGGATAGCAAGTTCCAAATTATATCTCGGTATTCCAGATGTAGGGCCAGTAACACTTACCACCAATTTTTTGGAAGGGGCTATATTGTGAAGGTGTGCCATTGAGAAAGTTAATGACGTAATCCCATATTGGTAAAGCTTTGGCTACTAAACAGGTAGCTCATACACATTACACCAGAAACCCAAACCCCAGGACCACGAATATTGTTAAATCCAATTTAATTCAATCAGTTAATAACAATCTTAATTAAGCCTAGAACTTTTCCGTCAGGATGTCTTCCAAATAGCTTCGCCCAGACAAACAAATTAGATGGGATCTATAATAATGAGAGAATTGAACAGAAAAAAACAGCACATTCCTATGCGTTTGTTTTAAGCATGTTAGTACCAAATTTATATTGGTTGCAAAGTGACGTCCATTTCATCCTGCTTCCTTTTATGCAATCCACTAATTACAATAATTAATGTAGAAAACTTTACCCATGGTGACATTAAAGATTAATAATTAAAGAATCAATAAAACAAGGATAGTACTAGAAGCATTTAATGAGGTACATTTTCTGAAGAAACAAATGGAAGCTTACACGAAAAATGAATCTGTCAAGGATGAATCTGGCTCCAACGAAACCAAAAGCGAAGTAAATGACATAGAAGAAATGAGAAGGGGCAGGGGCAGCATTGTTCGCCCAAATCGAGTCCATGAATAGAGGATTAGAACCTCAATTTCCAAATGATAACCAAAATCGCACACCGAGATGAATCCACATCTAAATTCGACCAATGTTTCCAAATTCAATAAGATTTCGCCCTTCTGCCCACCGCAGTGCCAAGTCCGATGGAGAAGCAAATACGGGTCGGACTATCGCAGGGGGGTGGGGGTAAGGGTGAAGGAACCAGAATCAGAATCAGAATCAAAATAAGAATAAAGAATATGGTAACGAAATAGAGGAATGGGAAGTGTGAACAAAAGAAAATATGTGAGAGATTAGAAAGCAGAATAATAAGAAGGGTGAGAAATGGTGGAGATATTGTGAATGGCGGGGTGTGCTTTATGTACTAATAGTATTCGTAGCCCAAGTTGCGCGGAAAATATTAAATATAATTTTTTTGTAGGAAAATATTACTTGAGAAAACAGTAAAAACAAAGAACCATTCAAATGCTATTATTTATTGAACATGTAAATATATTGGATATTCATACATTAAAGTCATGAGAAAATACATCATATCTATTATAAAGCGGCTATTAAGGAAGATAATGAAATTTTCTCTTTGCACACTGTGAGGAGAACATTGAGGTTTTTGATCTGGGAGCAAAAAATTAAATGGAAGTGTTAAATAAAGGATATCAAGCTGCAAAAAAGAGACGATGTGCCAGAAAAAAATAAATTTTTCTATCACAATGCACAAAGCTGTGAAAAGAAAAAAGAAGCAAAATGACAAAAATTCAAAGCCGAGTTCATAAGAATATCTGTATAAATCTATAAAGAATACAGACCTGATTTTTGTATACATTGTAGTTCAAGAAGTCCTCTTTGTAATTACACAAGCAGATGTTGGTTTTGACATGCCTGCATAAAGATATAACTTATTTAGTCAGGGCGCGCAATACTTTGGGAAGTAGAATGACATAAATTCAAAGTAAGTTCAAAAGAATATCGATATAAATCTACAAAGAATGTAGAACTTATTTTCGTATACATTGTAGTTCAAGAAGTTATCTTTCCAACGGCACAAGCAGATCGTGATTTTGACACGCCAGCACCATGATATAATTTTTTTTAAAACAGGGTTGCGCAAAAGTTGTAAATAGCAGAATAATATAATATCAGAATTGAGTTCAAAAGATTTATGTATAAATTATAGGAATATAGACCTGATTTTGATATATGTAGCTCAACACATATTTTTAGCCAAATGATAGGTTATTCATATTCATCAATATGTATTGCTAAATCAACATACATTGAGCTTTGGAGAATCCATCTTAATTTTACAGTTAGTTTCAATCAAAATTTGTACATTAGCATATTAGAGTACGGATTTACTTGAATTAAAAAAAGAAAGAAGTTAAAGCTGTAAGATCTTTTATTTTTTATGTTTTCTAATGAAATTACCATTTTGTATAAATCGCAAGCATTCCAACACGATGTTCACATGCATTAAGAGTAAGAGCTTCTAAAACACAATTTAATGAAAATATCATCTTAAGAAACATGTTTGTCAGGATAAACTCTATCATAGAAACCGTCAAGTCCCAAATACCTACATGCTAACAATCATCTCCTCAGCCACTCTTGTGGCCAAGCACAATGAACCAACAAATGTAGTTGCGATTTTCTCAAGGGGAAGGGTGATCATTGCTAGACCAATCCAAAGTACATTTGTTGTAGTGGTATGTGCATTGCAGAGTGGCCTAGGAGGAAAAAAAAAATTCATCAGCATGAGTTGAATGGACATCGAATATTGAAAAGGAAAGATGCAATAAAGTTTGTAGTATTCTAACATGCCGAAGTCAAGATCTGCCAAACAGTTTATCTCCAGCAATATCCACAACAACAGTTATACTCACAAAGGCAAGCATCTCAGGAATAGATGTCAGATAGGATGCTACAATAAAATATATTTATACTGATAATTTCAAATAAAATGAAGTCTCACCATGTGTTCATTCAATACAATTTAGTGTCTCTTATATGCTGGTTATAGAAATAATGAGAGGCTACTATTCACAGCTAAAACATATTTTACTTTGTTATTGTTAAACCTGCTGCAGCCAAGTTTGCATCAACTTTAATCCTATCAGTGTTAGATCCAACTTTGAGACAATTGCTTTTACAATGTTGTACCTTTGACCACTTTAATGAAAAGCATTAAAGAAGAAAGAGAAAGAATATAGAGCCAAGTTGCAACACAAGTCACATAATACCTGAGAGATAATTAGTTCATAAGCTCCAAGGAAACTTATGCCACAATTTGGTGTTGCGTACTACAGATGATTGTCAGTTTTGGGGGTCAATTACTATGTCTAAAAAGAAAGTGCTTTAAGAATAGATATTCTTAACCTTATAAGAAAAGAGTAGATATTTTTAAACGTATGAGAATTTCAATCACTTTTGATAAATATATCTCAAAATACCTCTTCTTTGTGGCGTTGGGATCAAATCCTTCAACACTCTTAGCAGAAGCAACACCACCTAAGAAGTGTGCTTCACCTAATTTATTTCGAGGGCAAATGTAAGACCAATATCCTGAATTAGTGCACCTTAGAAGGAAAATAAATGAAAAGAATGTAATAACTAACAAAGATTCATGGCCTTTGCAAAGAGAGTGAAAAATAATAAATCTAAGATTTTTGCAGGATGTAAATTTGAAGACCGCATTGACTTACTGTCATTTTTCTTAGACAATTGAGAAAAACAATTGTGAATCCAACTTTAACAATCAGATAAAAAAAATACTCATACTACACATAATCGTTTCATATATAAGCAAAATATTTTGTGTGTGTTCGTCCTAAAGAAATTAATAACAAACTTTCTGATGATAAACTTTCAGAAACAGAAATAGAATATCGATACTACGCATAATCATTTAATTAGTACAATTTATTGTGAAAAATTTATCCATTAAAGCAGAAAAGAAGATACACTTTAAAACTTTGTAAGTTGAATAAGCAAAATTTATGTAAGTTCATCCTAAAGAAATTTATAACAAACTTTCCGATGATAAACTTTCAGAAACAAAAATTGAATACTGGTACTACACATGTTGAATATGTTACCTTTGCATCCTGTAAAATAAACTCTATGGAATATGGTATTTCACGCTTGAAATAATCCGGGATTTCCCACGTTCGAATGACTCTAACTTTGAGATTGCATCGAGTTGCTTTAAATTGGACTGATTTCATGAATTGTTATAGCCATATTTACAAAATTTTGTATTTTATGCAGAGAAAAAAGGGAATGGAAAAGAAATTAAAAGGAGGGGTCATTATTAGCATAGAGATAGTTTCTACGTTATGGAGTTAGGCTTTGATGCCCACGTTTGGGAAGAGAATCGTGAATTTTTTTTTCTTTCCTCCTATTTCTATGTAAAATTATGGAATTTTCAGGTTTATATTAAATTAAATAACTAAAGCTAAATGGAAAAAATGTGACAGCCTAAATTTTTGAATAGACGATCTAGGAGTATTAGTAATATTTCTATGTAAAATTCTCTGTTAAAAAAATATTATCTAATGAAAAAAAGTGGGAATCAGCGTGGGAATTGGAATTGGAATTGTAGTCTATTTCTTAGAATGAGAGTAACTATATTTTTTCAGTTTTAAAAAAGAACTGCCCAAAAACGTGGGCTCAAAGTTGGGAATAACTGAACTGGTAATATTTTTTCTATTTTCAAAAATTTTTTAATCTCCAAATTTACTGGAGTGTTGTCATAAAACATGACATGTGTTGATATTTTGTTTTGACATTTGGCACAATATTATGAATTTGCCTCTCCTTTTCTATATTAGTAGATTTTGCTGCTTCTCAAATCTCAATAAATATTTATTAGTGGTTCCCTTTTGCTATATAAATAATGATGAAAATACCTCAATGTTTAATGATGCCTCCCACGGACCTTCTAAATTTTTCTTTTTTTTTTCTACGGTACGTACCTTCCAATTCCTATTTTGTTTTGATTTATTTTTTATACTTAACATGCAATTAAAAATACTTAATTTTGAAATTGTTTCAACTGATTTTCTTGACTGCTTGATTAAACTATTTAATGATTTTGTTAGAAGCTTAGGAGAAGAAGAAGATATTTTCATTGATGCTCAATTGAGCAGAAGAGGATACAAAATCGTTCTAATATAGGCAGACTAACTAATAGTTAGTTATTGACTAACCATAATTACACTAACACCCCTAACTTCTAAATATGTACACTTAGGTCCCTAATACATGTATATCTATACAATTAACTACTTATTCCAATACTCCCCCTCAAGCTGGAGGGTGTAAAATATTTAACACACCAAGCTTGCTAAGTAGAAACTGATGTTGTGGAGATGCTAATCCTTTAGTAAAACTTGCTGAAGATGTGTAGATATATACTGAGTGCACAGCATGCCTTCCTTGACTTTCTCCCTAATAAAGTGACAATCTATCTCAATATGCTTCGTACGTTCATGAAAGATTGGATTAGCTGCAATCTGAATTGTTGCTTTACTATCTGAGAACAGCTTAGTTGGTTGTTGAATTGGAGTACCAAGATCTGCAAACAGACCTCTCAACCACACAATCTCAGCTACTGCAGATGCCATGCTTCTGTATTCTGCCTCAGCACTACTTCTAGACACTGTGTGTTGCTTCTTGGATTTCCAGGAGATTAAAGAATCTCCAAACTTCACAAGGTAACCACTAACTGATCTGCGACTCATAGGACATGCTGCCCAGTCTGAGTCACAAAACCCAACCAAGGCTGGTTCCTGGTGTCTTTCCATGATCACCCCTCATTCCTGGTGCTTGTTTTAGATATCTTACTACACGAGTAGCAACATCCATGTGAGACCTCTTTGGAGCTTGCAGGAACTGACTCGGAACTTGTACTGCATAGCTGATATCTGGTCTAGCGACTGTAAGATACAGTAGTTTCCCAATCAATTTTTGATAGCTAGTAACATCTCTTAAGGCAGGATCAACATCTTGACTCCCAACTCCTTTGTCATATTCAACAGAGGTCAGTTTTTGATTGAGTTCTAGAGGAGTAACAGCAGGTTTAGCACCACTCAGTCCCATTTTTGAAATAAGCTCTAGAGTGTACTTCCTTTGATTGAGGAGAATGCTCTTCTGAGATCTTAACACTTCAATTCCTAGAAAGTATCTTTAACTCTCCCAAGCCTTTCACCTTGAACTTCTTGTGTAACACTGCCCTTGCTTCATCAATGAGTTGTAAACTGCTTCCTGTTAGCAATAAATCATCTACATATACCAAGATTATCACTATATCATTTCCAGCCCTTTTTGTGAACAGGGAGTAGTCA